TCGCTAAGATTCTCCTCCTTTCCAACGCTTGTTGCCCGTGGACTCGGATTTCCGTAGAAGCGCACGGCCACCGCTAAACGGATAATCCATTGTTAATGGGGGGGGGGATTACAAACCGTGCGGGCGTTTGTATAGTACAAAATTCAAAAAACACTGACCTCCACCACACAAAAGACAAAAAGAGTTTCAGCGGACATTATTTTTGTCTGCGTTTGTCATTACGCGATGGCCATGTCCCAAACGCTCATGCTTTTAAAGTTTATAAAAGGGCTATGGATTGTGGTATGACAAGTGGTATTTGGTGGACATTGTCCGCTTGGGACACACAAATAGTACATAGCTGTACAAATCCCTTACTTAAATGTGACTTTCGTAGATTCACCTTTTTCTATACTGATCTAGAATAATTCCTTCTGCTCCGGAACAAGAGATATAACTTTCCCAGTCTTGATGACATTCTCAACGTTTTCAACAACGAACTCCTCCATGGCTTGGATGGTCTCAACAGAGTGGGTACCCATGTGTGGTAGTGCCAAAACGTTTGGTAAGGAAACCAGCTCTAAATTAACGTTTGGCTCGTTCTCCAACACGTCCAAACCCGCGGATCTTAGAGTACCATCCTTGAGCGCCTGGATCAATGCGGTCTCGTCGATAACACCGCCTCTAGCGGTATTCACCAAGACTGCACCCTTCTTCACTTTGGCAAACACATCGGCGTTGAACATGTGCTTTGTATGCTTGTTCAATGGCACGTTAATGGAGATGATATCACTAGTAGCTAAAAGTTCGTCAAATGATACATATTCGGCACCACCTTCCAACTCTTCATTCAGTTTGTTTCTATTGTGATATACGAATCTCTCAAATCCAAATGGTTTCAACTTCTTCAAGACGTTTCTACCAATACCTCCCAGACCAACGATACCAACGGTTTTACCCTTTGGATCGTGAGCCACCGGTGTACCTGCAGCTCGTGGACTTGCAGGCCATTCTCCTCTTAACAATCTATGATGACCATCACTAAAGTTTCTCAGGGCACCAAGCAGCAAGAACACATGAGTGTCAGCTGTGGAATCATCAACCAATTCTGGCACGTTGGACAACTGGATCTTTCTCTCAGCAAGTGCATGTGGATCTACTTGATCATAACCAGCACCATTGTGACAAACGGCGATGACTGAATCTGGTAAATGCTTAATCAACTCTTCATCAAACAAACCGGTTTGATTGGCACTGCCGAACGTTCTCGTGATATACTGAACATCTTTGTATTTGCCCTGCAAGTTCTCCAAGAACTCTTGACGGTTTTTTGAATCGTCAACGATGACAGTGGCTATGGACTCTAGTTGCTTCCACGCTTTATCTGCATAGAAAACTTCACCAAGACGAAGAACAATTGGTTTGGACATTTTCTTTGCTATTGTTGAATGCATACCACAATTGGGAAAAAGAGGGGGGGGGATTCAATTAACAATTGCAAGTCCCTTTTATATATAACCAGAGTGTAGACGCAGCAAAAATCGAAAAATAAAACCAACAGTTTTTCCGGTATACACAAGGCATTGAAAAGCGCGATAAGCGCACGGACACGCTTGTCAGAATCTAACAGGACAAAAGATAGAGAGAGAGCAAAAGGATCAGTTCGTCATTCACAACATGGGTTTCACGATAAGGATATTTTACATGAATATGGAAAGAAAACAATGAGAACATTAGCAGCTATATGGGTTAAAACGCTGTGAGTTACCATTTTGTCACAGTGTTTCAAAGAACTGACACGGGTCGCCGTTTTCGGATTGGTGTGCGACGCGTTGTTTCTTGACTCTGGTTTGAAACCTCAGAAAACCCCACGGGAACCCCCACCACTACACTGCTATGTTCAGTAACTCGATGGCTTTGATAACCTGAACAGGAAATGTTAGGCGGGGTCACTAGCTGAACAGAGTCTCCAGTGCTGTGGCGTACTTGACTCGTGTACGATGCAAGCTTGTAGGGCCCCTGTTGTGACAGATTAGAAATCAGGACATAAAGGTACCTCCTACGACTTGTGTTCACTGTTTTTCCTTTTGTCCAAAGCAAACACAGTACCATGGAGCTGGAGAAGAACACCACAAGTGTAAAAATAAGAATTCATGTTTCTCTGTGCTAAACTATCTGCGAGGCATCTTTCTTGGTCAGTAAATCTTGAACACGTTAAATAGTTAAACCTCCCTCCGTTGCCAATTATCTAACGGTGCTTATGTCGCACCTGTGGGCCGTAATTGTTAATGTGGGTTACTACAATTACTTGATGTGTCAATATAGACCATCCTCCCAGATTAACTCTCCAGACCGTATTCTGTCTAAACACCCGAACAACTCACTTAGATTTTATCACAGAGTGTGGACTAGCATACATGGAGGTGGATGGGTTCTACGACAGCTTAGAAGAAATTTCCGGCATCAGAAAGACTTTGACTTACTCTCTGCTTTTCGCCAACCAGTTCCAGAATAACTGAGGATCACATTCCCCCTATATTTAGGCTTATGGAGGCTATTCACGGTTAATGGAAAATACGTCATAGGAA